AGGAGTCGGGGCTTGTCAGACAAGTCATGGCCATGTAGGATCACCGGAGCAACGCCATTTGAATTCCTAAGCAGGCAAACAAGCAGGAGTCTACGTGGCTTGGGCTGGAGGGAAAAGTAAAAGTTTTCCTTTAATTTCGGACAATTTATTTTAATTTGCCGGAAAAAGGAGCTGGCATTCTGGTATTCTCACTTGCAAATCATGTGGCCTGCAATTAGGCGACGCTTTCACTAACAACAAAGGCGAATCGCAAGTAATTTGAATGGAGTGACATGGAGACTAGCACTGTCAACAGCCCGATTCCCCGCTGAATTCGCAGGGCCAGGAGTCATTTCCCCGGTCGCCTCGACAGCTGCTGAACACGGTGCGTATGATTGATGCAGACTACCAGACGCCGCAAATGTAATTTGCGAGTGTTCCTCCCTCTCTTTAGCTCCTTGGGGATTCCGTTGACGGATGAAGTTTCGCATAGTTTTGGGCCATCCCAAAAACCACGTTGAATGTTAAAGTACCACTTTGGCACTTATGAAAAATGAGCACATTCAGGAAAGTTACCAAATCTTTTTTAACTAAAGGTCTCAGCAGTTTTGGGAAATATATTCATACAGGTTAGAACTATAATAATAAATATAACTATATAATAACTAATAATATGTAACTATGCAACTATAACAAAAATATATAAAATAGGGTATTACTAAAGCTTAACAAAATAAAGGAATCGTTTTACGGTTTCCTGCACACCCCTCAGAGTTTTACTTTTTATGGCTTATAAATTCAAAATCGTACAACAATATCCTTGATATTCTACACACAGAAAAGAAAGGTCCTTGATTTTTATCCATTGACTTTAATTTAAGGAAAATGGACTCAAAATAACGAAAAATAATTTTACAAGTTCTTAAAAATGTGCCTCCCATATATATTTAAGGACTAAATGGACTATAACTCATAGTCTATAAATGGGTTTAATTCCAAATGAACTTAAATATATATGGGGCACATTTTGTAATCCATGTATAGTCTTGTTAGGCATCTTTACTTTATTATTCCTTAAACTAGGATCAATTAACTAAATTTAAAGAAAATTTTTTAAACGGAATATTAACCTACAATTGGAAAAGCAACAACAATTTTGAACACAATGAAAATTATTTTGCAATTGATTATTATTTATTTACATACTGCTTGCTTAAAACTATAGCAACAGGGACAGGCAGCCATAGCTACTTAGGCTTTAGGCTCATATTTTTGCCATTAAAGTCTGCAAACCTACTTTAAAAACCTTAAAAAGTATTCGAATTAGGAAGATCTTCATTATCTAACTCTAAGTACAGCATCCACATCTTAAAGCGCCGTTGATCTTCGTTTTGGCCGAGGTAAATTCAATCAAGTCCCTCCATTTGCAAGCCAAATTGAAAACATATGTTCCAGCTTGGCATTTTCCCCGAACTTAAGACAAACAGGCAGAGCGGAGTGGGAAAGCTACTTAAAAATGTTGCACACGTACAGCCAATTGTGAGCAAACAGTCCAGGGGAAGGAGCCCCGGGGTGGAGTCAAGGAACTTTGCCGCCACATCCCAAATTCCCCTGACAGGCTGGCAGAGGCAGCTTCATCGGGCTTCCACATCCACGTCCACATCCGCCTCGTCCACATCTCCATCGTCATCATCATCGGGCACATCATGAGGCTCATCAGCATCAACTTGTCTGTCCCTACATCGCCCCAAGAGCTACTAAATTTCACGCAATCACGACCACACACACAGGGTCCTTCGTCCTTCTTCAATTTTCCATAGCTTTTTTTGTGTGCCGGCAACTGCCTAATAAAATATTTAGTTGCTGGGAGTCATTGACAAGTTTGCAGACAAGGTTCCTTGGGTTTGTGGTCTCTTTATGCTCCTTGATGAGACAGATACGAGGATGTCAGGTGAGTTGTGCCCGTTTCTCACCTACTGCCTGCCATCTATCCCCCAGCACTGAAAAAAAGTTCTAGTGAACTCAAATATTTATAGTTTAACTTTAGGTAATAGTGTAAAAAATGTGTCTTGGTCTGAAATGAATAATCTTTGTTCCTTATAGATACATGGATTAAATTCCCTAACTGTTATTAAACTTTTTTCTCAGTTCACCGATTTGCGTCCCTCGTTTTTTACGAGGCCCCAAACGTATTAAACGGTCATTGAGACCGTTTTGCACCAGGAAATAATGAAAAATTCAAAAACCAATATTTAAAAAGCCATCAAATCAAACAAAGTGCAACAATGTGTGATCCCAAATCGGCAGCCCTCCGTTCCATTTGGGGTATCCTTTCAGCGTTTAATATCTCATCAAGTGTTACGCTTTACGACTACTTAAAACCCCATAAAAAGCGAAACAGAATAAAACTGTGGCAAGGAACAGGCAGCCGAATCCCAAACAAAATCAACGCCGAAAGCCGTAAATTTCCTCCCGTCGGTTTCAGACGGGTTTTCCAGGAAAAAGCTGCTGAAAGGAAAGCGAAAGGAAATGCAAAAAGCGAGAAAGCAACAGCAAAATAGCTACAAAGGCAGCGACAGCAGCAAGATTTAATGATGCAGCATGATTTGCGCATAAAAAGAAGCGGAATAGAATAGAATCAAATGGAATAGAAGGGGCGGGGGGCGTGGCAGGGGGCCTTATAGCCTGACAGACATCGGCAACTGCTGGGCAAGCTTTGATAAAATGCAGCACTCACATCCACAATCACTTACATCCTCCCATACGACATATACTATGTGTAGGACATATATATTCTAACACTTTAGTTGCGCATAAAATGTAAAAGGACTTTTCATGTGGGCCACAGCAGGGAAAATGGAAAAGCAGCTGAGTTTGCTGGGCAAGCAATATATGCACATACTATATATACGGAATTTGAATGCATGCCTGCGTCGAAGGGGTGAATAAACCCTTATGAATACAGAAAAGCTACAGTGGATCCTATAATTTAACCCGGTTAACTTATATTCGGAGTTAAAAATATTCTTAAAAATAGAACGACATTTTTAAGTGGAAAATATTTTTATCTTCCTCGAATAAACTTTTAGTTTAGACCTTAGTGTAAACTTATCAAAAAGTTGTTAAATAAACTCAATTTAACTTTTCTCTTTTCACCATTTCGTTTTTATATTGATACCAAAATGTACTTACACGGTTTTTAAGATCGAATGTTCCCAATAAAATAACAATGTTCTCAATTCAAGAACAATGTTCTCAATTCAAGAACAATGTTCTTAGATAGTTTTCTCTGTGGAAATATACTTATTTGGCACAAGTTAAAAATAATAAAAAAATTAGATAAACATGGAACATGATTTTATTTTAATAAACGTAAATACTGAATCACGTTTTTTCTTATAATAGAAAATGGCACGTGCGACATTTATTCCAGATACAATTTGGGTCAAAAAGTATGTATATGAGTTCAAAGAAATAATTTATATTTATTAAAGTCCTGTCTCTAAAATATAGATGGATAAGGTTCACAAAAGAGGACAGAGTTTGATATTTTAAATTAAATTAAATAATATAAACATTTTACCTGCGTTATTGTTATAATGTAAAAATGTCTTTATCAGGCATCGTTGAATATTACATTCAATTCGTTTGTACCCTCATCAATATCTATGAATTAAATATTTTCTGCCACAAATTTCTAAACTCGACGAAAAGGGAAGTAGAAAAAAAAACAAAACTTAGCTCGATAACAAAACTGTCTAAATATTTAATTATGTTTCTTAGCTTTCGGCTAATTTGATGTTTTAACCGTTTGCTACTTACTTTGTTTTTGTTTGTGGCTTTAACTTGCCTTGGGTCAATATGCTAAAATATTAAAACAGCGAACCCCAAGATCAACAAAAGCTTCGAGTGGAAACCGCTGGTCGGGTTGGGTTTACATCATATTCAGCCTGACTGTCATGACAAACTGGAGTTCTAGTATGATGACATAAGCATAGCGCTAAAAGTTTTCGAATCATAATTAAACGAACGATGGGTTCTGTCAGAATTTTTAAGTAAGCACCCCATTCGGCATTTAGTTTACAATGTGTTATCAAACTTTCGTTATTGGTGAAGAAAGTGCTGCAAATTATATAATTATTTCATCAGCTACAGTGGTATCAGTGGTATGATAGCTAAATACGCACCCTTATCAGTAATTGAGAATGCGTTTTAACAACAATGTCAAGCCGTTACTTTTTCAATGGGAGATAATGAAATAAATATTATTATACTGCAATAAATCGAACATGCCCTTACATTTAGTTCGGCGTATTTATGAACTTAATCTAATTATTGCATTTGTATAAGCATTACTTTCGTCATACGCCTACAATTAAAAACAATTCCCAAGTTATTTACGCTAAATGCATTATAACTGGATTCGCAACACAATACCGATGATCACGAGAAGCGGAGCAGTGTGGAACCAATTATATGTTAGGATATATATAAATAGTTTAAGAAAGCATGATAAAAATTTGATCATCGTTTTGAAATAGATAATAATTAGGTAATTTGGTAAGTAATAATTTGAGATATTAAAAAAGGTTATCTTGTTACGATACTGTTCCAGTTAAGAACAGAAAGTGTTGTGATCAAAAAACTTTTGTCATCAAAAATTATTCAAATCTAAAATTCGCCTTTTTTGTAGTACTGTGTTATTATTTAATGTTAGAAATTATATTGAACTGGCAGATAAAGTTTTAATAAGATTGTTATAGAGAGAAGTGTGCCTAAAACATCTCTCAGTAGGTAAACAAAAGTGTAAACAAATATCACCAACACTTATATTATTCTGGCAAACCACACTGATTGTTTAAAGAGAGCGGTAGATAGTCGCTTTTTGCTTGAGTTCATGACAACAAAAGTAGAAATAAAGCTTCTAACCTGTTGAGAATGCAGATAGAGGTTTATCTACATACAAATCGATTACATACGTATTTCTGATTACGTGGGGTATAAAATGCGCATTCGGGCAATTGTGAAACTCAGTTCGCAATAAATTCTCCGGGTGGTAGAACGTTACTTACCTCGCAATGGCTGTCTTAGAAATTGGTTTGGCCCTCCTGGCCATCGGTTTTCTGATCTACAAATGGAGTACGGCCACCTTCAAAACCTTCGAGGAGCGGAAATTGTATTTTGAAAAACCGTATCCATTCGTCGGAAATATGGGTGCATCTTTCTTTCAGAGAGCCTGTTTTCAGAAGCAACTATCCGAGTTCTACGATCGCACTCGTCAGCAGTGAGTAGTTCACAACACAACAGTTCCATGTTGAAATATGGCTAAGCATCTCTAATGGAATTTCAGCAAACTGGTGGGCTTTTTCAATCTTCGCACCCCCATGATCACGCTGAATGATCCGGAGCTGATCAAAAAGGTCTGCGTGAAGGACTTTGACCACTTTCCCAACCACCAACTCTTTATCACCTCCAACGAGCGCCTCTTAAACGACATGCTCAGCGTGATGAGAGACCAGCGATGGAAGCACATGAGAAACACCTTGACCCCGGTCTTCACGGCGGCCAAGATGCGTAATATGTTCACCCTGATGAACGAGAGTTTCGCGGAGTGTCTCCAGCACCTGGACACCTCGGCCACTTTGCCTGGAAAAAAGGGTTTTGAAGTGGATATGAAGGTTCTGTGCAATAAGCTCTCAAACGACATAATCGCCACTACAGCGCACTGTGGGCCAGAAAGTTCATTTTTTGGCCAAAAATCTGTAATTTCTTTCCTGGGATAGTTAGAAGGATGCAGTTTTTTGCATTTATCTCTTAAAAGATTGAACTTTTCAACGAACTAAAAGTAAAATTTATTGGAATTTTATATGGTATAGATAATCCAAACCAAAATCGGAAAATTTTACATACTTTTCGGTTTTTTATTCTTAAAAAAATAACTAGAAGACGCACTCAATCCATTTTCATACACGATTAAGTATGAGAGAAAACAAATTAAAAAAAATTAACATCACTATAAAATATGATGTCGTTTGAGATTTATGAACCGTTAAAAATTGCTACTTTCGGAGGCTCCCACTTGAACGTTTATTTAATAATCGACCTAACAAAATTTTCTATTTTTTTCTTCTTGCTATCTGTTTAGATTCTTATAATCAAATTATTAGAAAAAAATTGTTTGAAAAATATTGTTTTTTAATTCGTTTAATGTTAATTTGACATTTTCTGAAGTCATCACAAAAGTATGCTATTTATTTATTTATTTATTAATTTGAGATCATAGTAAAGTTAAAAAAACTAATACTAACATAGGGGGTAGTGCTAGCTACGAGGCCTTCGACTACGTATTTATGTAAGCTACATTTATATTTTTATAATATATTTTAGTTCTTCTCCGAAGAAAGTACAAGAAATGCAGCATACCTTTGGGCATACATAAGTCCTCAAAATGGTTCGACTTCAAATTAAGCCATCAACTAAAACTAAAATTACTGAATATTAAGGCAAAACCGCATCGAGTCGGCGATGAGCGATTTTAGTAAATTAATTAAAGAATTTATTTTTGATGTAATGACTTCATTCGGGGATGGCACTCAAAAGCACTCGAAAAGCAAAGTACTCATTTGCTAAAAAAAGCAGTAAAAATCAACGAAAAAGTTTCTTTTAGGAAACAAGTAAGTCAGAAGAGCTATTTATAATTTTTTACTTGTTGAAAATAATGACTTCTAAAAGTTCTGTGAAGAAGTCGAACAGCTACATCAGCATCTTTGACTTCTAGATTTTTTTTCATTTCCATCAATATTTGATGAATTTTTAACTTTAAAAATACGTTAAAAAAAAACTACTTGCCCGAATTCTTTGAAACTTTGGCATAAATTAGTTTAATGTATAATAAAAAGGACTCCATACTCGGTCTTGTCATTTTCTTAAAAAAAAAAAACGTATTTTTGGCCAAAAATCGGATCGGCTGGCCCAGTGTGCAGCGTTTGGACTAAAAGTAAACTCGTGCAATTAGAATATTTATACAGGGAAAATGTACCTAATTTATTTATTTATTATTTAGTTCTTTAGACTGACAATCTTTGAAGCTGGTAAGGTTGAGTACTTTGTTCGTCTGGTGGTGGATGCCATTAGGTACCGGGAGAAGCACAATATCTCGCGTCCCGACATGATCCAGCTGCTGATGGAGGCCAAGAAGGAGTCGGAGGATAACTGGACTGACGATGAGATTGTGGCCCAGTGCTTCATATTCTTTTTCGCCGCCTTTGAAAACAACTCCAACTTAATCTGCACCACCACCTATGAGCTGCTTCATAATCCCGAAGTCCAGGAGCGTTTGTACGAGGAGGTGAAGGAGACCCAGGAGGCTCTGAAGGGCGGTTCCCTCACTTACGATACAGTGCAAAAGATGACCTACATGGACATGGTTATTTCCGAATCCCTCCGAAAATGGTCTTTGGCCGCCGCCACCGATCGTCTTTGCTCCAAGGACTACACCCTCACGGATGAAGATGGCACCAAGCTCTTCGACTTTAAAGTGGGCGACCGCGTCAACATCCCCATCTCTGGACTGCACTTGGATGACCAATACTTCCCGGAACCCAGAAAGTTTGACCCGGAACGTTTTAGCGAAGAACGTAAGGGAGAATTGGTGCCCTACACCTATTTGCCTTTCGGCGTAGGACCTCGAAACTGCATAGGTGAGTCAAGGGAAAATAAATAGATTTCTATGAGATTTCCTTAAAATGCTGTTGATTATCTATCTGGTTATTTGTTATACATATATAATTTTTGTTAGTGTGCACACCTGCAATATTTTAAGTTTAAGATATAGCTAGTACGCATGCACCAGGTTTTAAAGTTATAGGAAGTCATAAAGCATATTGTATTTAACGCTTAAATATTTGCAGGAAATCGATATGCTTTGATGCAGGTCAAGGGCATGCTATTCAACCTCCTGCTAAACTACAAGATCGAGGCTTCCCCGAGGACCACCAAGGATCTTTGGGGATCCGCACGCGGTTTTAACTTCACCCCCAGGACCGGCTTCTGGATGCATTTGGTTCCGCGTAAATAGAATGATGTGAATACTGAACAGACTACTCAGCTACTATTAAATAAAATGCACATAATTATATAATATTTAACATTTAATAGGCACTTGTTATTATTACACAATAAAATTTGTAGCAATTTAATTTTGTAGTGAAATGTTTTAATTTGAATTCGATTTTAAAATCTAAAAAGGAAAGAACGGAACATGTGTTCCTGAACGGTTGCAGTCTTTAATAACCTCTCATCATTAGGCGCATAATGCCATCTCTATCCTATGTAATATAATATCGATATACATATATATATACCATTTTTCGATTCTGGCAACGCTGCTACGACAGCGTCTTTTTGTGAAATTCATATCAGTATCAAATAGGCTTCGAAACCGTCAAGAATAAAAATCACATACAGTCCACACACAAATCGTTTATATTTCTAACCATATTGCTGGTCCATCGTTCCGGATTCTTGGACAGTTTTGAAGTGCTTTGATTCTCAATTGGTAATTGTTTGCTATGGAACAATTAAAATCATTAGTGAAAAGCCGTGCCAGACTCAAGGCTAACATCACACGTGTCTTGGCATGGGCTGAACACACGGAGATTGCTACACACACAGAGATCACCACACGGATAGATCTTCTCAACGAAGTTTGGAAGGAGTTCAACCAGTTTAGCGACTGCATTGCGCTTCACGAGGAAGTGGAAGGCTATGTCGATCCGGAGATTGACAATGCGGTCTATGAAGCAAAATACCTAAGGGCAAGCGCTATTCTCAAGGAAAGGAGTAATGATCTACAACCGGGGACATCTACAAGCGGTGCGAGTGGCAGCAACGGGCTACACTCAAACAACGATGCAATCTTGAACTTGCTACAACAAAACCAACAACTATTTGAGCGACTTGCAGTAAGTCAGAGCACACCGAACACGCCTGATCATGTTGGTGGTGACGTCACATTAGCGAATTCTCGGAACTCGGTACTCACGGCGAATTCAAATCTGAGCGAATTGCCTAAAATTCAAATCAAACGGTTCTCGGGCAACTACACAGAGTGGCCATCCTTTCAAGACATCTATGAAAGCACGATTCATAACAAACAGCATTTGTCCAACACCCAGAAGTTCCATTACTTAAAAACACTACTCGTTGATGAGGCTGCCAACTTGGTTCGACACTTGGCAATTACGGACACGGCTTACAACACTGCATGGGAACGTCTTAAGGAAAGATACAATCGTCCACGGCACATTGTAAACTCGTTTTTGGAACAGTTTATGAGCTTGCCAACAACTACAAAGATCGATGCAACAGTTCTACGGAAGGTTTCGGACGGAGCAAACGAAATTGTTCGTGGATTGGATGCGGTGAATCAGACGGGACGCGACTGTTGGATCATATATCTAGCCCTAGAGAAACTTGACGCTGACACACGGCGCAGGTGGATTGAGCGCAGCATGGAGACCGATTCACCCACTCTAGAGGAATTCTTCAAGTTTCTGGATTCTCGCTGCGAGGAACTGGAGCTGAGCAAAAGGGAGCTTGCGACTGGAAGCAAGACAACAACACATCCTGAAAAACCAAAAAGGATCACACAATCGATGGTTGCGGTTGAAAGTAGGGGCTGCACCAAATGCAGTTCTACGGAACACACTCTATATGGCTGTCAGCAGTTTCTGGATATGTCTGGACTGCAGAGGCGATTATTTGTGAAGGAGAAATCACTATGCTACAACTGCTTGCGACCTGGTCATGGGGTCAACAGGTGCAAGTCAACTTACAAGTGCAGGCAATGCAAAGGAAATCATCACTCCCTTCTTCACGTCCAATCGAATCCACAGGCTAGTGGGAATCTTGCCCAGATAGCAGAGGGGGACGAGCAAAACTTAAGCGCGTCTAACACAAACTCAGTGACACTCAGTCATTTGGCCCAAGGAGCGGGCACCCAAAAGGTTGTATGTGCACAAGGCACTGCAAAATCTACACATCTTACGGAATTCAAACGGAGCATATTACCAACTGCTATGGTGTATGTTAAAAACGCAAAAGGTGACCACGTAACATGCCGTCTTCTATTGGACACAGGATCAGAGCTGTCTTATGTATCTGAGCGCTGCATTCAAGCTCTCGGATTGACACGGTCGGCATCACGCATTTTGGTTACGGGAATCTCTTCCGTAAAAGCAGACACGACAAGGGGATGCAGCACGCTGCAAATCAAGTCTCGCATATCTGATGATCGTTTGGTTGTCTATGCCCACGTGCTAGGCAGAATCACCTCATCTCTGGAACGTCAAAATATCGACGCATCGACACTCGAGGTATTTAAGGATCTGCAGCTGGCGGATACACATTTCAACGCAAACACACCAGTAGATATACTATTGGGAAGCCAACACGTATGGTCAGTGTTCACAGGACGAAAGATGTACGACAACAAGGGTAATCTTATCGCTATTTCCTCGGTATTCGGATGGGTAATCACTTCACTCATCACATCGAACGCAAGCAACGCTATTGCACTAACCACAACCATGGATATCGACAACACGCTTCAGAGGTTTTGGGAACTGGAGAACGTTCAAAGCAACACAAAATTGGAACCGGAAGACGATCAGGTCGAGAAGCACTTTCTCGCCACCCACAGCCGCGATGAAAACGGGAAGTATATCGTGGAACTTCCATTCAACACGGAATGTCCTGAATTCGGAGAAACTCTACATGGAGCTCTCAAACGCTTCAAATCGGTGGAGCGACGACTACAACAAAACGAGCAACTGCGGACACAGTACGTATACTTTATGCGGGAGTATATCAATCTGGGACACATGCGTGAGGTGCCTCCAGAGGAAATCGCTACTGGAAATCAGTTCTTTCTTCCACACCACCCAGTGCTAGGCCGAAAACTGCGAGTGGTCTTTGATGGATCCTTTCGCGACGCCAATGGTAAGGCCTTAAATGACACTCTTTTCACAGGGCCCAGTATCCAGCGCGATCTATTTGCTGTGTGCCTACGATTTCGAATGTATAAGTTCGCATTCTCAGCGGACATCGTTAAAATGTTCCGCCAAATATGGGTAAACGAAAAGCACAGAAACTATCAGAAGATCGTTTGGAGAGAGGATCCATCCGATCCGATCAAGCATTTCCAATTGTGCACTGTAACCTACGGAACGTCATGTGCACCATTCCTGGCGGTACGAGTGCTGGAACAACTCGCCGTGGATCATCAAGACGAATTCCCGAATGCTTCAAAAATCCTACTGGAGGATTTTTATGTAGATGATGTTCTTACTGGATCAAACAATGAGGATGAACTACGTCAAAACCGAGACGAGTTGATTCAGCTGATGTCTTGCGCAAATCTTGAACTCGGGAAATGGGTATCAAATACCTCATTCATACAAAAGGATGATACCAACGCACAATCGTCGCCAGTTAAGGTTCTCGGACTATACTGGGATCCTGGAAAAGACATTCTAACGTACAACATTGGTCTAACGGCAAATCCTGACTGCACAAAGAGACAAGTCTTGTCCGACGTCTCCAGGATATTTGATCCTCTCGGACTCTTGGCACCCATTGTAATACAGTTTAAGATTATCTTCCAAAAACTCTGGCTCTTAAACTTGGATTGGGATGACCCACTTCCAACTAAACTAGCGGACAACTGGCTGAAGTGTAGAGAAGATCTAGACACTCTACAAAAATTCCAACTACCACGCTTCGTTGCCAACGACGCAGACAATATCGAACTTCACGGATTTTCGGATGCCTCAACCAAGGCGTATGCTGCTGTGGTGTACAGCAGAGTTACAAATGACGACGGATCCATCTCGGTGTCCCTTGTGGCTGCGAAGACAAGGGTGGCGCCACTGAAACAACAATCCTTGCCACGCCTGGAGCTTTGCGCAGCACTTCTTCTGAGCCAACTCATTCGTTCGATCTCCTCTGGATTACGCCACAAGAACATAACTGTTTTTGCCTGGTCCGACTCATCAATAGTGCTGTCCTGGTTATCTTATGCACCAGCCCAACTAAAGACTTTTGTTGGAAACAGAACCTCGGAAATCCTTGACACTCTTCCTAGGAAGGCCTGGCGGCACGTAGACTCCAAATCAAACCCAGCTGACTGCGCTTCCAGAGGTCTGATGGCTGCTGACCTCATCGACTTCCATTTGTGGTGGAATGGACCTTTGTGGCTACGGGACCAGGATCAATACCTGGTAAAGTTGAACGATTCACGTTTTGGTTTATCTCTTTCAGACAAACGCATTCAAGGAGAAGTCAAGTCCAACTGTTTGGCTACAGTGGCTGTTGCAACTCAGGTTCATCCACTGGATGAGCTGATCGCACGAGTTTCTTCTTGGCTCAAGCTAGTTCACATTGTAGCCTATGTGAAGCGATTCATTCAATGCACACAAAACCCGTCCTGCGATAGGGCCTCAAAAGCTCTTACATTCGAAGAGATTAAGGCAGCAAGGATCATTTGTATAAAACACGCGCAGCATTGTTTCCACGAGGACTATCAATTACTCCTTGCCAAGAAACCCCTAAGGAACCGATCGCAGCTGGTCAAACTTGCACCAATGATAGACGAAAACGATTTGCTGAGGGTAGGCGGAAGACTGCACCAATCGCAGTTGTCACGAGAGGCAAAACACCCAGTTTTGCTACCAAAAACGCACCGAATCTCGAAGCTGATTCTGGAACACGAGCACCGAGTAAATCTTCACCCTGGCGTTTCTTCCTTGTTTGTAATCGTTCGTCAGAGATTCTGGATACTTGGAGCACGTAATCTCATTCGCAGAATCACACACGACTGTTTATCCTGCTTTCGTCAACGCCACCACACCGCCCAACAACAAATGGCTGATTTACCCAGCGTGCGTGTCACTCAAGCCCTTCCATTTGTCAATACTGGTTGCGACTATGCAGGTCCAATCCTTCTAAAGGATGCCAAAGTTCGGAAGCCACGTATCAGCAAGGGCTACATTTGCCTGTTCGTATGTATGGTCACCTCGGCCATACACCTGGAACTTGTCACAGACCTGACAACAGAAACCTTCTTGGCTGCCTTGCGCCGCTTCACATCCCTACGTGGCAAGTGTAGCAAAATCTACAGCGATAACGGAACAAACTTTGTTGGAGCTAAGCGATCCCTCAACGAAATGCAAGAATTGCTTTCATCACAACGACATAAGGACATCGTCACATCCACTCTGGCGGATGATGGAATCCAGTGGGTACTCATTCCCCCTAGAGCTCCTCATTGGGGAGGGAAATGGGAGTCGGCAGTTCGCTGTGTCAAACTGCATCTGCGCCGAGTCACCGGCAACTCAACGCTCACCTTCGAACAGATGCGCACCTTGCTTGCTCAAATCAGCGCAGTGATAAATTCACGCCCCTTATGCTACACATCGGATACCGAAGACAACTACTTATCACCCGCCCACTTCTTAATTGGGCGACCGTTAACAACCGTGCCAGATCCTGACTTAAGCCACATCCCTGTGGGTCGATTAGGATATTGGCAAAGCATCCAGGCTATGCTTCAAGGATTCTGGAAGAAATGGCACCAGGAGTATCTGACTACTCTGCAACAACGTCCGAAATGGACCACTTCAACACCTAACCTCTCGATCGATGATGTAGTTCTCGTTAAGGAGTCCAATACGCCACCAGCATCTTGGCACATCGCACGGGTTATGGAAACCTATCCAGGGAAGGACAACCTCGTTCGAGCAGTCAAGCTGAAGACATCAACAGGAGAGATGACCAGGCCAATCACGAAGATTGCCGTCTTGCCCAGTTCAGAAACTGTGTTTCAGGGCGGGCCGGGATGTTCCTGAACGGTTGCAGTCTTTAATAACCTCTCATCATTAGGCGCATAATGCCATCTCTATCCTATGTAATATAATATCGATATACATATATATATACCATTTTTCGATTCTGGCAACGCTGCTACGACAGCGTCTTTTTGTGAAATTCATATCAGTATCAAATAGGCTTCGAAACCGTCAAGAATAAAAATCACATACAGTCCACACACAAATCGTTTATATTTCTAACCAACATGAATATATAAAGAAGAGCATATCTATAATGTATGTACGGTTCAGTTCCAACGCAATTTGGTCGAAAGCGACTGTGAACCCCCGAGGTTGTCTATCTACGAAACTTATCGATCTATTTTTTTGTTCCTATATTTATATTGTGCGAAAATACTCTCGTTGCCTGGTGCAATTATTTATATCAAACACGATTACGAAGTGGGGTCTACAAAGCTAAAATGATAGTGTTGCTGATATATAATTGAACTGATATTTTTTGTTCCATGAGTGAACAGAGAGCTTTGCTCATTAGATAACAAAAACAAACAAATCAAAATGTGCGAAATACACAGCACTCTACAAGCTTTTTTTTTTGCTAGCCGATTTTTAGAAGAGAGCGGCAGATATGTTTAAAATGTATTGATATTTTTAAAAAAAGTTATTATGATATATAAATAGATGTACTTGTTATTTGCTGAACTCACTCGGTATTAATTTCACCAAGTACTTGGACATTGCGTCTCGCCCTTTCCCATCTGTCAAAAATATGGGTGCATCGGCAGAAAGCCTCCTTTCAAAAGCACTACACACCAGTTAGTGACTTGGAATCGATTAAAAATAGCAAGAATATCTTATAAAATTCTATAAAACCCAACTGGTTTAAAAGGTCTGTGTTCAGGACTTTGATCATTTTTTTAAGCACCAGCATAAGCCTTGCTTATTGTGATGATGGTTAACACCTGGAGAAACATTAGGAGCATCCTGACCCCGATCTTCACGACTTCCAAGAAGGGTAACGTGCTTATTCGGATGGAAGAAAATTTTGTGTAATGCCTGTAGCATCTGAATACAAAACATGAGTTCCACGTGATAGGATAGACACTGGTCTGTCTCTGGGACTTCCATTCTCAAAGTTCATGATGATTGTACTTGCTTTTAAAATGCAAGTGATGGGCATTCTATAGAACCAATGCCAAATTAGAAGGTACAAGCTTCAACCAAGTCTCTTTAGGAATCTGCACGCGGGTTGGGCCCCAATCCATATTCTGAATGCAGCTGGTTCCCCGCAAATAAGGCAATAAAACGACCAATTAGGTTTTTAAGAATAAAATACACAGACATATATTTTACTTTTGATTATGTTTCCATACACACTTGTTGATATAGCATAGCTTAGACATAGGTTTTCGTTAAACTCTCACTGGTTGGTTACAAAACTTTCCTCACTCCAAGTATTCTGGACACATTCCCTTTATATAACAATTTCGCTTTCACGCTGCGGAGAAAGCACGCAAATTACATAAAACGTTTGGTTTGCAAACAAAAGAATCTTCAATTTGATTTGTTTAACAAAATATCCGAGGAAAAGAAACTGCAAATGTTGTAAATGCTAATGGTTTTCTATCTCGAAGTTTCGTTGTGTTTGTGGATATGCCATTATATTTTGCGTTCTGCTTTTTGCCATTTTAAATTATTGCACATTTGGCTAATATCTGAAACAGATAATACTTTCACTCTTTTGGAGATTCTTTTGTTGGCCTTCGATTGGATTTCGTTGGAGTTTATTGTTCGTTGATTGCGTTGTTTGTGGTCTCTACTTTTCGTTTGTTTTTGTTCTGCCTACATCTAACACTAGAATAGCTTATGTTTTATGGTAATGCCCGCGATGGGGCATGTGTATATGAATATGCAAATATGATATAGTTTTATAGCTTTGTACAACGATTTCTCTCATCTCTGATCTCATATGTGCCTTCTTATTCGGTGTATTATACATGTCGATATGTTATTTACAGTCACGGTTGCCAATTTTAGAACCATCCTTTAGAGTAATAACGAAAAATGGAATTTAGGATAGAGCTCATCTTGACAACCGTGTTAAAACCACTTCTTTTAGATCCCATCCCCAACCTATACGCTGTATAGTCTGCCATTGCTGGTATGCTGGGAACTGGAGTGGCGGGCCTTCCCCAGCCCAAAGAAGTTCCACACCCTCCGCAGGCATCCCGGCTTCTTCTCCGGCAGCATCAGACTCTGCTCCTCCAGGATCGTGTCCAGGATGTAGTAGCTGCTCAGGTTGAAGGGCGGTGGCGGCAGCATGGGGGGTGGTCAGGAAATCGTGCAGTTCTTGCTCTCGTGCATGATCGCCGGGGTAACGGATGCACTGCCTCCGCCAGGAGCGAGGGAGGAGTCCTGGGCCAGCTTCTTCTTGCGCTCGTAGGCCAGCGCATCGTTGGGCACATAGGCCACCCTCACTCCACCGTAGTGCTTCCGCGCCGGGAGGCGGTACACATAGTCATCCATGTCGCTCGAGGAACTGGAGGAGCAGGTGGAGCAGATGCTGGCCACGTCACAGTTGTCCAGGTTGTTCAGCAGGTTGAGTGGCCCCGTTCCCGTTCCCCCACCCACCTGCGTCTGGGCATTGTGCAGGCGGAGATTGGTCTGGTTAATCTGCATCTCTGAGGAGCTGCGCGACTGGTTGCGACGCCTCCTCCGCCGCCGGGCATTTGAGTTGTCCGTGTAGCTCTTGGAGCGCGACATGGTGTCCTGGACGCTGTGGAAGCGCACTTCCTTCAACGGCCGGTTGTCCAGCTGCTCGTCATCCAAATCCTGATCAGCCGGGTGCTCCTGATTGCGATTGTTGGCGAACAGTTGCTCGTAGCCATCGTGGGGCAGCTCCCTCACCGGCTCGTTGTCCAGCTCCAGTTCGTGGGCCAATTCCTGCGTGCTCTGCGTCAGATCGGAGTTACTGGGGGAGTTCAGGTTGATCTTGTCGATGCTCTGGTAGCTGTGCGAGTCATCCGCCTTCGAGAGCAGCATGTCCGGCATGGAGTTGGTCAGGGTCTGGGCGTCCCCGAAGATGGACTTGTCGCCGGCGCAGATGTTGTCCAGGCTGATTCCCAGTTCGGTGAGGTCAATGGGCGGCGGATGGGCAGGGCGTGGCATGCCGGGAACTCCTCCTCCGAGCAGTAGATCCGCCACGCCAGCCGCCTCCATGCGCTGCCGCTCCTGCCGCTCGAGGAGATCGCCGGCACTGCCCGTGGCCTTGGGATGACCATGGTGGCCCTTTCGTCCTGGATCCCGCTCCCGATCCCTCTCACCAACCCTTCGCGGGGATCTAGCTATCTGGCTAGAGGTGGAGGCCCGGTGTGTGGGTCTTAGTTGGGGACCCGAACTCGTGTCCGACGGCGTGGGCGGTTCGCCCTTGCTGCAGGCAATCGAGCAGTAGATGGTGCCCCTCCTGGGCAGGAAGGGCCTCCCCAGCAGGGAGCAGCGGCAGGTGCAGCAGCTGAAGCACTGGTCCGTCGCATGCCAGTGCTGCCCGTCGTGGCTCATCTGGCCCTGGTCCACCCCAATCACCTCCCCGCAGTAGTCGCAGTACTCGGCGAACATCGTGTCGAAGCAAGCCAGACAGTACGGTTTGCCCTCGCGCATGATGTACCGCTGGCCGCCCAGCTGGTGCTCGCACTCCTGGCAGGCAAAGTGCTTCATGTGCCACGTCCGACCCTCCGCCTCCGTGCACTCGTCCGAGAAGATGATCTGGTTGAGATGAAGAAAAAACGGGAAACATCGGATCAGGCAAGAAATAGGGATGGTGGTCGGAAGGGGACTATACACATAAGATTGCATAAATTGTAACATACAATAGCCCTTTACCAACAGTTGAATATTACTCGAAAAAGAGAACGTACTGACTTCTTATAAGACTAATACAAACGGTAATATATACCATTAGCATATCAATTTACTTGAAAAGAAATATATAATTCACTTACAATAAATATATAACAGTCTAGATTCTAGATAACACCCTTATCATAAATTTAAAAGTAAAATTCTATTCTAAAATCTTAAAAAAGAAATAGGTATATACGTTTTCCAATAAAATTGTCCTTAAAATGGGAACATTTCTATTACTCTTACGACTCAATCTCTTTCCTTACACAGCAACATGTAATAAAGTAACAGATACCTAAAGATTATTTATCACAAGACCATAACAAATATAAAACTCTAAATATGGTGTTATATAAGAAGTTTAATTCAAATTATGTATAGAATTTAATGATATAGAACCGAAGTTAATTGTACCTAAAACCTATTTTACCTTTTTAATCAAAGTTTATTTATTTAAAAATGCTCAAACTTAAAACTTTAGAAATGGTTTTATCTAAATAGTTAAATTCAACGCATACAGAATTTAAATACCTAAAACCTCTTTAAAGTTTACCCGAACTCTATCTTCAAAAGCCGCAGCTTTTCTCCACCGACATTGCTACTCAAGAATTCTGACGAGCACTCACCTCATCACAGGCGGAGCAGCGAGGCTTCTGGGTTTCGGCGTGGTGGCGACCGCAGTAGAGGTTCCCGTCCCGCTGGAAGTAGATGAGGTCCACCAGCAGCTCCTTGCAGACGCTGCACACAAAGCAGCCCGGATGCCAGCACAACTGGGCGCCCAGCCGCTGGGCGAAAACCACGATGTCACCGCCCGACAAAGGCTCCTCGCACTGAAAAAAAAGAGGAAAGACCAGAGGATGAGTAAGGTAAATCGTACAAATGGGAGAAATATGCTCGAGTTCTTCGAGCGATAAAAATCTGCAGCGTCTGGCTGCTGCTGCCGGGGCAGAAATATTTAAGCGACTATAAATGCTAAATAACGGTAATAAAACGCTTAAGCTCAACGCCCCACAATCCCCACCCCCTCCGGAAAAAGGGGCCTCCAGCAGGGAAAAGTCCTGCTCTGTGGTTTTCCCAGCTCTTCTCTCAGTCCTTGGATTTTCCAAAGCGGAAATCATGCAAAAATAGCTGCCGGCCATGTGTCCGTGTCAGCCCGGTGTGTTTGGGGTGGTCGGGGTGCTCGGTGTGTTTGGTCCACCCCAAAAGTGCTCCTCGGTGGATAAGGAAGCGCTTTAAGTGGAGCTGGCTGCTGGGAAATTTCTGGAAACTGAAACTGAGAAATGCGAGCAGGAAGTGCCGCTTTTAATGACTGCTGGCAAGCCACGCAGCTCGAGACTCGTTAAATTTAAACGCGCTCGCATAATGAACTTATTTCGCCCGAAAGGGTTCACAGCCAAAGGTCCCGGGCATGGTGACGTTTTTATGCCCCTAAATAAGGGCTCTAATTGAGTTCACTCAGAGGTCAGACGGTCAAAAGGAGTATTCTAAACTATTAGTCGGAGAGGCACCATATTTCAGCAATTTTAAAATGAAATATTTCGAAACATATTAAAACGTTGCTTAGAAAAGCTTTGAATTCTAATAACGTTTGCAACACGGAATTTTGAATCCTTGAGAGTTTGACGAATGTTATGAGTTTTGAACTGAGAAAGCATTTTCTTTATCTTTTGCAAATGAGAATTAGGATTACTTTGTTTTTCATTCAGTAAAATAATTTTAATTATAAGTTAACATCAATTTTAATTAACATTTTGTTTAGATTTCCTAAAACTACCTGCATGTGTTATAAAGTTTAAACCATATAAAATAAATGTTAGATTGGGATATGATATTTTCCTTAAAGATACAGACGCGTTTGAAACCGTTGAAGGTAAGAATAATGTTTGTTTAACATAGACAAACTTTAAAGACACATCTGTGAGGGAGGCTCTTTCATTACATATCTACAATATCTCTATTTTGATAACTCTGTTGTGATAGCCGCCCACACCTGTCAGCCACTTTCCGCATTTCCGGCCATAAAGCAATTAGCCCGCCCACTCTGATATATGCACAATCCTCCTATAAGGAGCAAGACATGCAGTTCCTAGGAACCTGACCCCAAACCAAAGCCCCTGCCAATTTGCACCCTCATTTCAGGCAGTTGGCGAGATTGCTCGACTGCGTCTCCGTTCTTGGTTTCGGCGGTTTCTGGCGCAGGCAAATTACCCGGTGCCACCGCAGAGCCACCGCATAAGATTCAGGGCCCCATTGCCATTGCCAGTCAGCCAGGAACCAGTGTTCTGTATTCAGTATTCAGTATTCAGTATTCCGAACTCGGTATCCAGGAGCTCCTTAACTTTCCAGGCTATTAAACCTCGGCGCGGGCGATGCTCCCGCTCCGTGGGATGTGCTCCGTTCTGGACCCACATCCTCCGCCGATTCCCCGCAATCAGCATTTACTTTTGCAAGCCATTAAGCATTGACAGGCGAGAGCTTTGGGCCCCGACTGTACTGGGTTGATAATTTCCCGGGGCGTAAGTAGCTTCTCTCTATGCGTCGTTAATTGTTTGGCAACTTCAAAAATTTATCGCCTCGGGCCACGAAAATCATAAAAACCTTGAAGCTGCTCACTGCGCACTTTAATTAGGCAGTTCCCCTGCCCTTATCCCATTTTCATTTTGCCTGGCTAATGACGCATTGAAGTCGGAATAGACTTGTCCTTGCACTTTGGCCCGTCTAACCCCAGAAACTCGGCAAAAACTTTTCCCGCAGGAAGCGCTTTAAGTAGTTTCTGCGGTGGGGACAAAGTGCTAAAGTTTTCAGCTCGGATTGAAGGGGGGATTCGAACCCAGGGCCCAACCAATTTCGGTCCTAAGCCCGCCCCCGCCATTGATTAGTTTGTCCGGAAAATCTGTGCACTTAAAATGACATTTTTCATTGGACTGCCAGCCCGGCTAAATGTCATGTAAATAACAGCAATCGCTGCTCATTTATCTTATCAATCCAATTAATCCCAGTTGGCTGTTGGCTGCCGCTTGTTTGCAGGCACTCTGCGCCAGACAATTATGCTATTGACAAATTGTTGCCGGCGGTGCCATCGCAGCACCTATAAACCCATCGCTATATATATGGCTGAACCGAGTGAACCCCGATGACCCGCGGGGCGGGAAGTGTCCTTGCTAACCCATTTCGTGTCCGGACTAATCCCACTCGGAGCGACAAACTTCGCCGGCAGACGGGCAAGACGGCATCCGGCCCAAAATCCCATCCCGAACCTCCCCCGAAAAGCAACTCGAATTATTAATGACGCTCGTTATCATGCCCTTTTCAGTACATAAACTTTTCGCTTAACAGCCACTGCGCTTCACCTTCCTTTGGCTGGTTTTTCTTTTTGTTTTGCTCTTACTACCTTGGTGCACTGAGCAAAAATTACTATGGTGTTTTAAAATAGCAGGAAAATTTAATTTATTACCGAAACTTTGAATTCATTGGGTACCATACTTTATATCACACTTTTAAATGAATATACTTATCATTCCCATGTAATTAATATCTTTGGAATTACTTAAAAAGGTTCAAGTTTCTGCCTCTGTGCCTGGTAATACATATATATTTTTTGCAACAAAGTGCCCAGTCTGAAAATGCTTTTCTCGTAATTATTTCATTGTTGCCAGGACGACCTTTAGTGTCACATCCTTGTCAAAACTTCAGCTTCCGCTCGTTGCTGTTCGTGCGGAAAATCTGTCAAGAAGTGTGCCCCATACCCCTCATTCCGCTGCTCGATTCCATTATTTTTTGGCAAAATCATTGCCAGTTGGATGTGACACACGTTTGCTACTCATTTACGCCTGACTGACTGCCGGAGCTTCCTCCCCTTCGAGTCTGAGGATTCAGGATCATTGAACGTTTTCATAAATTTTCCCTCATAATTTCCCCATGCTTTCCACGCCATTCGATTGGATGGCCCTGGGTTGAGGCCTTTGTTCGCATTTTAACGTCCGTTTAGCAAGTCAGTTATGGTCTGTGAATTTTAAGCACTTTCGTCTTCGCTTTAGACGAGGTACGGGGAGGGTTTCCGATTCTCAAATCCTTTTTAAAGTTTATCAGATTTTACATGGCAACGAAGTGGAAAGTTTGGCAAAAACGCCTACACGGTTCCGAATGCCTTGGTAAAGGCTTTTCTTTGATTTCGCTTCCTTTTAAGGCGCTTCATTGCATTTTCTAGATTTTATTTCAAAGGAAATTATCAAGTTGGGAAAAATTCCTACACTTTCAATAAAACACAATTTAAATTTCGTGAAGTTTTCGCTATTTACTAAGCTTTATAAACAATAAACATTTTGTCCAATTCCATAACTCGAACTTCCTAGAATTTAAAAGGAAATTAAATATTCCAAATATAACTCTTGCCCTTTTCTAGACGGATGTACATATAAGTAACTGGTTGGAAAAGTTCCGGGCATTTCTTTACCAAGTTCACACTGATTACTCGGGACTCTAATGAACTCCACCTCAAGTTGGGCCCCAGTCATAATAAACCCAAGTCGGCTACCAATTTGAACATCCCAAATAAAATCAGACACACGCACATGACTCCGGGCAAGTCCCTATCCGCCGTATTCCCATTCGCCGGCGCACGTAGCAGACGGATTCGAACTCGGGACCAGACCATCCGAACCCAACCAGAAACCAGCAACCAGGAAAGGCCAGATAGGATCCGACCAGGCCCCAGACACGCAGCATGCGGCATAAAGTTTTTAATAAGTTTTACGAGTGGCGAATGTGAGCACAATAAAATCGAGCTGCCAACTATCACCCGGAAAAGTGCCGAGATGACCAAGTGCACATCGGCATGCCGGCTCGAACTCGCCGGCTGCAGGGGGTGGTCTCCTCCGACTGTCGGCCAATAACAATGCAAATTTCCCAGACCCAGGCCAGACTTTCAAAGGATGCATGGCTGTGGGTGCCACTACTTCATGCCACTGCCATTGTGCTTTAATGCCATTTCATTGCGTCTTTGGCCGGCAACTCCATTCACTTTCTGCGGAAAAGCTGCGACTCTCTTAGCCTTTATGTTGTCAGAGCCAAGTCACTGCAATTGTTTTTGCAACAACGTTTTTCATTTTCAGCCCCCGTCCACCGGTTGAAAGTGTACTTAATGAAATCTTTTTGTCATCTTTTACTTCGAGACGTTTGAAAGTTGCCAACACCGGTCGGTCTGCCCCACACCCTTCGAGCTCATTGTTTTCCCGGGCCATTGTCAATTTTTTCCTACTTCGTCCGGGCCAAGAAGGAATCTCTGGCGCAAAACTTTGCCCGGCCAGGCACAAATGAAATCGAAACGACTCTTCATCTTCATACTTTCTGTGCATAATAAAATGCAAATTTCTGCAACAATTAAGTGGCAGGGAGGGGGTTAAAAATAAGGAGCAAAAGGGGGGGGGGGGAAATTGTTTTCAAACTTACCCCCTTGCAGGGCCGCTCGTCGGACAGGAGGCGGACCGCTCCGCGGCCGAGGGCCTCCCGCTTCCTTTGGGCCGAGAAGATGCGCAGCTCCTTGCGCTCCTCGTCGCTCAGCGAGTGGCAGTAGCGCACCTGCAACAGACACGTAGACCAAAACGGAGGAAAGTTAGCTTCTGTACTCCCGAATCCTGCATTTTAATTAAG